CTTTATTGTTAACATTTTATTTGGTCCACACAACAGCCCTGTGAGGTGGGCAAGTCAGAAACTGTAGGTGCAAAGGGAAACACACCCCAGTATAGCAATGCAGAAGTTCAAGCCGTTCTAGTAATGCCATGCTTGTGCCATGAGTTCCGTCTGCATAACCACGAACATGTTGTTGTTAGTTGCTGTTGAGTCAATACTGACTCATGGCGACCCCGTGTGTCAGAGTAGAACTGTGCTCCATAGGGTTTTCATGGCTGTGACGTTTCAGAAGTAGATTGCCAGGCCTGTCTTGTGAGGCACCTCTGGGTGGTTTTGAACCACAAACCTTTCAGCTAGTAGTTAAGTGCTTAGCTGTTTGCGCTACCCAGCAATTATTAATTATATAGCTCCTTAGGCCGGGAGATCTTCCAGAATTTTACAACTGTACCCCATGCTTTAAAGATCTTTAGGGAGCTAGTTGTGCACTGACGGGGAAGGTGTCCGTTCTATAGATGAGGCAACCGAGACCGAGAAGTGGGGATGTAGAAAAAAGGAAGTGTAACAGAGGGGCCAGTTTGGACTTTTATAGAGTAGGTTCTTCACCCTAGATATTTTAAAGAAATCCCTCTGAGCATTTGTTCCTAAATTTATTGAACATCCATAAATAGTCTAAGTTGAGGAGAAAAACTAGGCTAATGTATTCGAAGCTAATGATTCAGCTTTGCAGGTTTATCTCTTTCAGTGCATTTATAATGATAATCTCTTCTGTGGATGCACAGCTAGCTTGTGACTTTCTGGGTCTCCTTTCTTTTGACTCCAGAGTCATTCCCTCTCAAGTACAGTATTATGTTTTCTTGATCTTCCTCCTGAAAAAAAATCTTAAGTAAGAAAAATACTTCTGGATATTTTGTCTGCTTTTTAGGGATTAATGTTTGAGGAGGTTTGCAGCTGTTCAGCACATTCCTAAGGGATGCAGGCCCTTTTCTTTAAATGCCCAAGTATTACACAACCCAAGGCTCTGGGGGCAGGGAAAGTAAAGAGACTGTACAAACAAATGATAGATGGAAAAGATATAAAGACAGATTTCAATCTCTTAACCAAACGGAGTTTCCTTGGCTCCAGCGGCCCCAAATAAAATAAGGCTGTGAAGTTGCTGGAGCAGGAAACCACTCTAGCAGAACCTTCATATGCTCCCTATGAAATCACGTCTCGTTGCTTATTTTCCAGCCTGAAGTGTGTTTCATCTTTGGAGCTTGTTTCTAAACCAGTCTTTGTGTGTGTTGGCTGGGAAAATTGTCTGTACAGTAGGTTTGTGTTTCCCTCCTCACACATTCCCTTCACTTCTCCTGTCCCACCACTATCCAAAAATAAATAAATGAATTCATTAAAAGACCTCAGTTGAAAGGAGGACTATGTCTGAGAAAGTATACAGACTCAAAGAAGCAGAAATATTGTACGAAACACTGCAGTAATAATAAAAGAGACTGGAATCCCTAGAAGAAACACACCACAAGGTCTAATACTTTTTTTTTTTTAAGCCATAGACTCCTTTTTTTAAATAAAAATCTTGCATAGAATCTCAATATATGAAACAGATCAAAGCAGTGTTTCATTGGTATAAATCTACTTTTAAAGTAAAAAATTTATAAAGAGTACTTATTACAGAGTCAGTCAATGAGAACAATGAGGCTGTGTTCATGAACTAAAAATATTGAAATTGGGATTATGAATAAGGGTTGCGATTTTAGATCAGTTTCAAAATCCAGATTGTTTCTGATTTTGGTTTGGATTGCCCAATATCAAGAAAATTCTGATTCACACAGATGAGTTGTTGTAATCTTAAGATATTCTTAAAGGTGATTTAGACACTTAAAAAGGAAAAATAGAATAAAGTTGAATCATTAACATTACCTAGCAGCTATTTCCATTCCCCTTCGTAAATATTAGTTGGATAAGCCCCAGAATGTATAATAAACATTGCAACAATTGATAATGAGATAGGATGTTGATTCTCATTACATGACCGTGATCTGCCGCGAACCCAGCACACGACCCTGAGCATTTGTGGGATATAATTGAACTTGGCCTCTGTGTGTCAAATCATATGCTCACCTGTAGAGTTTACCCCAGGAGGCACACAGGCTTGAATTGAAAAATAGGCCTGTTCAAAGCTACATTCATTCTCACCAGTAGCACATTTTCTAGACGTTCCAATACATGCAGTGATAGCAGGAAATTCTTTATTGCAAAGCTTGTATACAATTAAGCTCACCTAGCAGCCCATGATAACTTTGTGGTGGTCTCTAATGCAGGGAGATTAGGTCCTAGGTCCCTTGCTCATTTTAAACAGGTGTTACTCATGCAAATGAACGTGTTACAGTTAAGTGTTAGGCATTTTATTGTAAAAGATGCCTGCTTTCACCAATTCTTTTTATTAGCCCATTTTAATTTACTCATCCTTTCTTCTGAGTGTCCCCCAGGGAGATATATGCTCTACATCCTCTTTCCATGGTGTTGATTGGTATTGCCTCCCACTTCCACTTGTGACCTGTGGGGTACATTTGTGAGCTAGCTGGCCCTTTGTCCGTATCTATATTAAAACTCTCTTTGGTCTGCTGCAGTCCTTCTTTGTCTCCTGCACTAGACTGTGACATTGGCCCTTTTGTAACCACTAAAGCACCTGATACTACATCTTGGCATTTGAGCTACCCAATAAACATTTATGAAATTGAACTGTGATAATGTTTTTATGTGTGTAAAATGTTATGTGAAAAGAACCCACCAGCCCTATGTTCCTACCAGTAGAGACCCGTGTTCACCCAAGATAATAAACATATTAAAACCAATTGTAAATCTAAGATCTTGAGAGATCTGCCTTTTTTTTTAAAAAAAAGCAAGCATAGTTGCCCACTGTATTCCATGCTTACTGAGGACATAGATATCTTGCCAAGAGAAACCAACACCCAATAAAAATGTAAATTGGATTATTTAAGGTTTCATAACCGAAGCTGATTTGGAATCAATTTGAAAGTTTTCTAGCAAATGGAAACATCAGATGTCACTGAATGCAGTTCAACTCTTTCACCATTTTGAATTTAAGATTGTTTCCTGTTCACCTCTTTTCAGATGCTAAACATTTTGAAAGGAGTGATTAACTACATGTATCTCTCCCTCCCAGCTAGGATATTGTCACGTCTTTTAATTTTCTTAGAAAGGTAACTGGGCATAATGTTACCGCAGTGCTTGGTATGTAATAAGCACATAAACTGTTAGTTAGTTATGTGGATCACAGAAGTGCCATTCCCAGACGGGGAGAACAGGTACAGCAGTTCAAATTTGGACTTTAATATTCATTGATTGGAAGCAACTTCTTGGTACTGGTTGGACAGATTTTTGATTTGCTGGTCTGGTGGGTTCTGAAGCCAAAATGGGTGTGGTGTGATTATTCGTTAATAGTTACTTACTGAAGGATTGGAAACGCCCTTCTGAGTTGCATTCCATCGTCTACAAATCACAGGTGCCTGGCAGCTTCCAGTCCTGAATGCAGGCATTGCTGACTCAAGAACCAACCATCTCTCACTTCACTTTCTTGCATTAAGAGACTAACTGAAGGGAAGGAAGAGGTGAAAGGGAATGAACAAAGTGATACTGCCAGCAACACTTTCTTTGCAGTTACTGGCTTGGTTTTGAATTCCAACATTCCAGCATTGCCACTTTGTAGCTGTGTGACAGCTAAAAAGATGTTTAACCATTCTTAGTCCTATTTTCTTCATCTGTAAAATGTGGTTAATAGTATCTACCTTATTGATTGTTGTGGGTTTAAATTAAACAACATATATAAAGGGCCAGCCCAGTGCCAAGTACACTGTTCTGTACCCATTGCCATCGAGTTGATTCTGACTCATAGTGACCCTATAGGACAGAGTAGAACTGCCGTATAGGGTTTCCAAGGAGTGCCTGGTGGATTAGAACTGCCGACCTTTTGGTTAGTAGCCACTAGAGTTTCCAAGTACATAATAAGGCCTTGATAAATAGTACAAATAACCCCTATTTTCTGTTTCTCTCCATAAAGAAATCCAGATTCTAAGTGCAAACTTGCCACTGCTTAAATTAGTGCTGTGAACTGAATAGGTAATCAGTGATTCTTCTGGATCACAATGTTGTCATCAGAAATGAGTGTCTGTGTTTAGCGCTTTACTGCTTTACTCAAGCTGTAAAAGCTTTAGGAATAAGTGGGTTCAGATCTGGTTTGTGCTCTTTGTTTTATGGGAAATGAGACATAAGATCATGGCTCTTTCAATGAAATCAAAACCTCCTTAGGTGTCTTCTATGGAATTGAATAGTTTTCAGTAATTTTTTCATGGCAAATGCCTCCGAAGTTGTCTTCTTGAGTCTTATTGTAGTTGTTAGTTGCTATTGAGTTGGTTCTGATAAATTTGTGAGGGTGTAACCTCTAGTGCTCTAGTGATATTGTCTCTGGTGACAAACCAAATGACTTGGGAGGTAAGGTTACTGACTCTGGAATCAGACAGTCTAGACGAGTTCTAGCTGGACAACAGAGAACTGTGGTTCTAGTCTCTGACTGCCTCTTACAAATTCTGGGCAAGTGACAACCTCTCTGAGCTTCAGTTTTCTAATGAGTAAAATGGGGATAATGGTGGTTCTTTTCCTACCACAAAGTGGTGGTGGAGCTTAGATGAGATAATGCATATAAAGCATTCAACAAGTTCCTAGAACATGGTAGATGCTCAACAGATACTCTTGCTTCTCCTCCTCCTCCTTCTTCTCTTCCCCTCTCTCCTCTCCCCTCCCTCTTTTTCTTCCCATTCTTATTTTCCCCTTTTTTCTCCAATGAGTTTTCAGAGAAGGAGAAAACTGGAGATGCTGGCTTCAGGCAAGATACCCTTATTTCTGGTTTGGCTTGATTGCTGTGACTTTGTGACATGGACTGTGGTCGTAGATGTTGACCCTGGCTACTTACCAACATTGATTTTTTTTTTTCCTTTGTCGTTTCTTTACAGGAAGGATCAGAATGTTCTCTCTCCAGTCAACTGTTGGAATCTTCTCTTAAACCAGGTGAAGCGGGAGAGCCGAGACCATACCACCCTGAGTGACATCTACCTGAATAATATCATTCCTCGATTTGTCCAAGTCAGTGAGGACTCAGGAAGACTCTTTAAAAAGGTATATAGCTATTCCTAGTGACAGAGCTTCTTGGGTGGAACAATGAAACAGACATATATATAAGAGGAAGGATATTTTATTGATTATTTGGAAGACTTTCAGCCTGGTCATTCCTTACCACATACCCATGGAGAAAAATAAATGAATTGGCATTCATTTCTTCCTTTGTGAGCTGAATTAATAGGAGCCTGGGGAAAGGGACTATTTGCAAGGAACAACCTCAGGGCTGGCAGCATAATTCATAAATCTGCATATATTAATAATGATTTTGGTTTGGTGAGTTTTGGTCAAATGATATGGAGAGCTATTGAGATTCAGGGGCCTTCACTGTTATTTCATGTTTTCTTCCAGTTCATTTAGCAAATTCATACATGTTTTTGGTTCCCTTCCCTTTCCAGGTTCTCATCTTGGCCAGGGTGGACTGAGAAACTTGATCTTGATTATTCTTTTCATGGCATATTTTGTCTTTGGGTCCCTGAATGCTTTCGGGGGTTCAATTGTTTATCACAATTCCTTGGATGAAGATTGAGTAATTTAACCAAAGAAAAACTCAAAAATGGTCATAATCTTAAGGAATTTTCTGCCAAACCCACCTTACCTGTCATTGGTGGAACCAGCTTATTAGAGCTCCAGGAACCCATTTTCTAAGCTCTCACCTTGAGACCTTGGTGGGGTCATTTATTCTTGAGGTTTGGTTAAAAAAAATGGTGGCAAAGTTTCCCAACCATTGTACATGATATATTGTGTTTAACATTGAAGATCTGACATCCCCAGATGACTTTTCAGAAAGCAGATAATCTTCCAGTGAGTTAGAGGTAGAAAGGATAAACAGGGCTATTTAGAATTCATTGGTTTCCATTTAATAAAATCCAGTGTTAAGATTTGAGGCTGGGATAGAGAGGACTCTGATAAACAGGATTGTGGCAGATATAGCCATAGCTGTTGGTCAGTTTTGCAAGTCTTAGTGTTAGGAAGCTGCCCAGATTGAGACTAGAAGAAATTAGAACTCAATTTCTTCCTTTTTTTACCAGCCTGAAAAAACGAACTGATTTAGAATCTTCCATCTGCATGATTGTATCCCTGAAGGGGCTTTCCCTGTATCTGAATGACAGGATATTGAGAGTACAATCATCTGACAAAGACGGAAGAGAAAGATAACTCCCCCAGAGCTCGCTGGCTATTATTAGTGGCCCTCTGAGCTGTGGTTGGGCCACACTTTGTTTAGGGGCAAAGGTACTTTTCACTGTCTCCTCCATGGTTCCCAGCATCTCTTCTAGCTTGCTTGTCATCAGTTTGCATTTTCTGCAGCACTTGGTGACATGTGTGTGTGTGACTAAAGTTAAAATCCTCTTAGGTGAAACCTTGGCAGTAATTGGATACCACTTCAACTCTTCTTCTTGACCTTGCCAACCACTTAGACTATCTCAAGAAGGAAGGAGGTTGTATTTCCTCCTCCATTCTCTGTGTTCATCTGAGAAAAACTTTTGTGAGAGAGGTTCAGCCATGTAGACTTCATCCCATAGCTCATCTCCCTTTTCTCTCAGCCTTGGAAGATTGAGACGAACTAGGCTGAAACAGTTTTGGTGGCCTCTCCAGATCACAGAGTCGTTCATGCTAACAGCAGGCAGATATCAAAGTCATGCGTGCTCCTGGCTCTGCAAGTGCCCTCTTCACATTTCACCAAAGGCTGAAGTGCATGGCATGGGTAGAAGGCATGGAGGCAATTGACTTCCACAAGAAAATCCCCCCATGAGTGGTATTCCTAACCGTGCTCCCAGGTTGACCTCATTAAGCTGCATTTCTATGTTAAGGGTGTAAGGAAGAATTTTTCTCTCACAGGACTGTTTATGTGGTACATTTCATTGAATAAAAGTGTACATGTTGTAAGTGTACAACTCAATGCATTTTCACAAACTGAACACATCCTAGGTAACCAGCACCCAGATCAAGAAACAGGAACATTACAAAACCCCAGAAGCCTCCCTCATGCTCCCTTCTGGTTACTACTCCCCCATACCAAGGCTAACCACTGTCTTGACTTGTAACAGAAGACATTAGTTTTGCTTGGTTTCATTCTTCATATAAATAGAAGCATACAGTATGTGCACCTTTTTGTCTGGTTTCTCTCATTCAACAATATGTTTGTGAGAGTCATCAAAATGATTGTGCATAGTTGCAGATCATAGGACTTCCTCTTGATCTTTATAACTTTTAAATTAAATTATAGTCGATTAGAGATACGCATGGTATTGTTGAAAAGCCAGTGTTTACTATCCCAAAGGGTGAATAATCTCATTTTTCTCTCCCCTGGGGTCGCAATGTAGGCAGAGAACTCCAAGGTAAAAGCTGACTTGGCAGATCAAAGAGTAGATTAATTCTGTTTGGGCTGAATGAGAACCTCTCTGCTTTCTAGTAATAGGCAGAGAAACATTGTCTCCGTACCCAGTTCTTCAATCTATTGTTCAGAGTGTGTTGCACATGCGGAATTGGAATCCCACTGGTTGAGAAATAGTAATCAGATAAGAGACTTAAAGAATGTGCCTGGCAGCCGTGCCAGTTATGTAAAGCTTTCCTGGGCTGGCTTTGTGCTATGAGAGCAGAGGCCTTTTCCAAGGTACTCTTTCTTTTAGTCTCTGCTCTGCTATTGAATTGGACAATGAGCTCACCTTTCTGTGCCTCAGTTTCCTCAGCTGTAAAAAGTGGTTTTGGGCTATATATGAAATCCGTAAACTCCCCTCCCTGCAAAAAAAAACAAAGGAACCCACTGCCCTCCAGTGTATTCTGACTCAGTGACTCTATTCGACAGAGTAGAACTGCCCCATAGGGTTTCCAAGGTTATAATCTTCACCAAAGAAGCTCCGGTGGCACAGTGGTTAAGTGCTGCCTGCTAACCAAAAGGTCAGTGGTTCGAACTTTCTCCACAGGAGAAAGACCTGGTGATCTGCTCCCATAAAGATTACAGCCTAGGAAACCCTATGGGACAGGTCTCCTCTGTCACATTGGATTGCTATGAGCTACAGTCGACCGGATGACATACAACAACAGCAACAGTCTTCCTGGAAGCAGACTACCACATCTTTCTCCCGCAGAGAGGCTGGTGGGTTCCAACTGCCGGCTTTTCAGTTAGCAGCCCAGTGCTTAACCACTGTGACACGAGGGCTCCTTATGCTAGTCATGGTGCCTTCTTTATCTCACATGCTGTCATTCTGTGATAACAAGAGTATCCTGTGCTTGCAGCTTCTGGTTCTTAGATGAATTTTGTTAAATCATAATAGGCAAATAGCAGTCCCAGAGATAAGGGACACACACAAGTGTGAGAGGTAGGAGGAGGAGGAAAGTTTAGCTAAGGCAATTCAAGACCAAATTTCTTTTATATATATATATATATAGTTATTTTAGGTGAAGGTTTACAGAACAAACAGTTTCTCTTTCAATAGTCAGTACACATATTGTTTTATGACATTGGTTAACAACACCACGACATGTCAACACTCTCCCTTCTCAACCTTGGAGAACTTTTTTTTTTTTTCGTGAAAATATACATACCTAAAGATACACCATTTAAAAAATTTGTACGTGTACAATTCAGTGAAATTGATTATGTTCTTCCAGTTGTGCTGCTATTTTCACTTTAGATGAAGGTTTACAGAACAAAATAGTTTCCCTTTAAACAGTTAGTACACATATTGCCCTATGACAATGGTTAACAAACCCACTACATGTCAACACTATCCTTACTCAACCTTGGGTTCCCTATCACCAGCTTTCCTGTCCTCTTCTGCCTTCTAGTCCTTGTGCCTGGACTGCCTGTGCCTCATTAGTCCCGTTTTGTTTTATGGGCCTCTCTAATCTTTGGCTGAAGGGTGAACTTTAGGAATGACTTCAGTACTGAGTTAAAAGTGTGTCCAGAGGTCATACTCTCGGGGTTTCTCCAGTCTCTGTTGGACCAGTAAGTCAGGTTTTCTTCGCGAGTTAGAATTTTGTTCACCTTCTCCAGCTCTATCCAGAAGCCTCTGCTGTGATCCCAGTCAGAGCCATCAGTGGTGGAAGCCGGGCACCATCTAGCTGTACTGGACTCAGTCTGGTGGAGGCCTTGGTAGCTGTGGTCCATTAGTCCTTTGGACTCGTCTTTTCCTTGTATCCTGTTCTCTTCATTCTCCCTTGCTCCTGAAGGGGTGAGACCAGTGGAGTATCTTAGATGGCCGCTCACAGGATTTTAAGACCCCAGATGATACTCACCAAGGTAGAATGTAGAACATTGTCTGTATAAACTGTGTTATGCCAACTGAGCTAGATGTTCCCCGAGACCATGGTCCCCACAGCCATCTGCCCAGCAATTCAGTCCCTCAGGGACTTTGGAAGTGTCTATGGAGCTTCCATAACCTTTCCTTGTACCAGTTGTGCTGGCTTCCCCAATATTGTCTACTGTCTTACCCTTCACCAAAGTTACCACTTATCTATTGTCTATTTAGTATTCCCCCCACCACTCCCATCCCTTGTAACCAACAAAGACTGTTACTTTTTGTGTGTAACTTTTTCATGACATTTTACACTAGAGGTCTCATACAATATTTGTCCTTTTGTGATTGACTTATTTCACTCAGCATAATGTCCTCCAGTTTCATCCATGTTATGAGATG